TCGCTAATCGAAGGGGCACCCAATTCTACATTAGAGCCAAAAATTCTGCTGTGTGTGAAATAATTAAAAACAAGTATCCACACACAGTGTTACATTGCATATTTCACACTCAAAATACATTGTTTGCTTTTGCTTTTTCTTGGTTTTAGCACATACAACGCATCTTCTCCTACCTTTTCTGTCGACGTAAATTTTTGGAAACCGTCTTCCAGTTAGACGGAAAGGTGGAGTGTCCGGTGATTTTGAACAAGTTTTTAACCCTTTGTGGATCAGTGTCCCACTACATGGAATACCCAACTTGAATCGCTTCTGAATATTTTTTTTTTTTTTTTGTGATACAAAAAAATTTGTTTGAAAAAAAAAATTCCGTTTAATTTTGATGGTTGTACTCTATATTCTTATATATTTTTTACATTTTTCATACAAAAAGCATGTGCAGAATCATTGAATAAAATGTGGTGTTCCATTAGCAGGAACACTGTGCCGTGTTAGTGATTCTCATTCCCGTTTATTTACAATAAATGTGTAGATGTTTTTTAAGTATGTATATCTTATAGCTTATTTTTCTTTATTGTTAATATTAATTGCAGTGTATTTTTATTATTAGTTTTCCATAAATGGCACGGAGAGGTCTAACTCTTTCCGAAGCACTTAAGGTTCTTCATGAATTACCCTCCGATTCTGAATCAGAGCGTGAAGATAGAGCGATTATACATTCCTGAAACACTTGTGTAATCCGATGATGATATGTCGGATGAAACTCATTTATTTAATGAGAAGGTTGACAATCCATCTCACCGAATCCCCTCTACACAGCCTAAAGTTTTTACTTGGAATTCTAAACATATTGATGCACGGAACAGAAGCCGCACAAGACAAGTTTTGTGCTCAAAATCTGCATATTTGGTTTGCGCTTCTATCAAAAAGATGTGACATGATTTGAAAATTTCACAAAGCTATGAAATCGAAAAATTTGTAAATTTTTTTGTATATAGGACTTGTGTACATACATATATTTATCTCATTTATCCATATATATTCAAGAAAGTTGTGTATATGCAGAAAACTATATATAAAGCTATAATACAGTGTTTTTCATTACTATACATAAGCTTCTGCTCATTTCCATGCTTCACTGCAATGCTCGCCTAGTCGCACATGATGTGGAACACTGCACTCTGGCGGTGCAGTGTTCCACATCATGGAACACTTACAGAATTGAAACGGTAAGTACAGTTTTTACAAAATTTTACCTGTATACACTTTTAGGCCTAGATAGACTGCATACAAATTTTCTTGTTGAAATATCGAATTTAAAGTATAGTGCATCACAAAGGGTTTTAAGTAAGGTCTCTTAGCCATGGCTAATGGAAAGAAACAATGTCCCAAAACTTCTTCAAAAGACATTCAGAAATAATTCTTAGAAAACTTCCTTTTTTCGTAAATCAGAAACATCGTCCACGATGACCGGAAAGTAATCAAGGAAAGACCCCCCACTGGCGAGATATCCGTTACTAATCACATCAATATATACATTATATGTAAATACATTATATACCAAAATATATTGCCTGTGTCATTATATGTAATGACCATTCAAGGCATTATATGTAATAATCTACTAAATCAAGGGGGAAAAAAAAAAAAAACACTTGCTCTTTCTTGAGAATGGTGAGCAGCAAGACTCATTATGTGTCGAGAAAGCTGATAGTCTTTCCTCTTCTGTAATTATGTTGTAATGTTACTTTTTAATTAATCAAGAAAGCTTATGTTAAGTTTCAAAATAAAAAGAAAATTCTAAGCAAATAAACAAAAATGCCTGTTACCCTTTATTTCACAGTTGTACTTATAAAGAGCTGTGATTTCCAGTGTGTTTATTTCATTAAATCTCTCAAAGCCAAAAGCACAAAACAGAAACTAATGACAGTACATAAAGGTCAAATTCCGTATAAATCAATCCATGTGAAAACAATTACCATTTAGCTCCATTTACTGCCCTTTAAAAATTCAAATAAATTGATCCGTTTTAATGTCACATATGCGAGGCTGGGCTGGTAGGAGTGGAATCGTTGTGCTGTGTATACGTGACGCTGGTCCTGAACGGGTTAAAGAAATGTTCTGAAACTTCCATAAATGGGTCATTTGCACTAATAAAAAAGGATGATTATATGAAGAAGTAATATTCTTTTGGCTCGTATAAATTTATTGAAAAAGGAAATATGCTTTTATATATTATCAGGAACTCATTGTTCTGGATTCATTGTAATCCCATTTAGTGGATATGGTAAAATCCAAAGAAAAAGAGCTTAGCACTGATGTCTGATACCAGATGCGCTTATAAAAGTTTTAAAGCCACTGGATCTCTATCAATATAATTTTCAAGCACAAGCTATGAAAGCAAATTCCATTCCTTCCCAGATTTCCAATGAATAAGAAGGCTGCTTTATGGGTTGATGAAGCATGGCAGCCAGTCTGATCGAATACGATAGTGTTATTTTTCATTAAAGAAAATGAAAATAGGGATAACTAAATGAAGTGATTTAGAACAAAATGCTGAAAGTGACCTTGATAATCATTTGTAAAACTGATTTAATTACAAAGAAATAAATCAACACTAGGAACATCTTTTCTGTAACGAACCTTTTTTATGAAAAACCACTTGCAAATGTAAATTATTCAAAACAAACCAGAATAACTATTATTTTGTATGAATAATAATTATTTTCCATTAATTTAACATATAATAGATACATTCAGATGAAAAATACAAATATTGTACGAAACATAAAAAAAAAAAAATGTCAGTACCTTACTATCAGTAATACCATTGTCTTCTTGCAAAAGATATCGACTTACTCAGCATATTCTTGTGCACATTCGTAACATAATTTTTGTGTACATACCAGACAAATTGGCATTTTACAACTTGCACATAAATACGAAGTTTTCAGCTCTTTCTTTTTCTCCAATATTTTGTTTTACGATCTGTATTTTCACTCAATTTTCCATATGCTCTTAATCCTGTAAGAAGAACTATATTATGCGCGGGAGTTCTCACGTTTTGTTGAGGTTCAATAGATGACCACTTGAAGCGGATACCTCCCATAACAATGTTTTATAGATGAAATGGATTCAGTCTCTGGTTCAGTGCATTCATTGTCAGATTCAGAAAATTCTGTTGTCGTGGAATGTGAACTTTCATTTGCAAAATCTTGGCATTCATCTTCATCGCTAAATTCACTTTCCGCTTCATCAAGAATTCTTTACAGCACTTCTGCATAACACGAATTAGAAAAATTTATGATATTTTTCGGACTGAGTCTCAGAGCCATGTTTCCAGACAATGGAGTAGAATTTCACAATGAAGCAGGTGCAGAAAATGTTAGCCAATATGTGAGAATTATCAAGGTCACAAAAGGAGGAGCTAGCAGGAGAATCCACTCGGACGGTGATAGGAACAACACCGGTAGCGGACGGTAACACCGGTAACGGTCTGTGAGAGGGCACCTCCCCAGTTGCGGGTTAAATGGCATCTTTTGGAATGCTTTGCTGTGGCATATGCATTAGTGCAGCTGTAAGCGGTTTTTTTTTTCCCTTGTATTTTCCAGTACAGTAAAAAGCGTTAATCTGGACTTGTCGGGACTTCGACGATTCCGGATTATAGATCATCAGTTTAAATCTGGTAAGATGGCATGCAGAAATGATAAAATTAAAAATATGAAACTGTAATTTATAAAATAAAGAACAATTAATGACTAAGGGTATCAAATTTACAAAAAAAAAAGCTTATATTTATTTGTTTACTTATTAAACATTTCTCTCAATGTAAGTTGCTTCGTTTTATGTGATGATACTTTCTCTTTAATTCTATAAACAGACATAATTTCTTGTTCAGTTACAAAGTTCCGCTGTTCAAGTCCTATAATTGCTGTGTCGAGAATACCGACTAATTTGTTGATCGAAATTTTTTCATTTTCAATAACCTCTGTGTCACTCTCTTCACTATTGGAAGCGAATTATAATGACGAGGAATTGATTTAAATCATATTAAAGACGGAGTACATCGAGATGAATTACTACATTTAGTAAGGAATTATAAGCCAAATAAAATAAAGACATCTGCCCTGAAGATAAGGATAGTGCTGACAGGTCAACTTCCAATTCATTGCACGCCGCACGGCGTCCCCTCCCCGCCTGCCGCAGAGCAGTGTAAAATTGATAAACAGATTTCGGAATGGTTAGAGAAACAAAGGATATACCTTTGTTCATTTTTTGCAGCAATTCCACTTTTTGTTTAATTGCCTATGCACATGCATCAACGCCATGTGTGCGCAGAAAGTTTGTGGCTTTGAGGTTTCGATTATAGATCATTCCGGATTATGGGTGTCCGAATTAACGACTTTTGACTGTATCGCTCTTTGCCTCGTATGTTCATGCAACATTTGAAAAGATACCCATCTCACTTAAACTTTGAAAGCCCAGCTCAGTTGAATCACCATTGAACTTTTCCTCAATCTTCTGATCGACATTTTTGAGAAATTTCACATTTTCAGTTTTTTTTGGGGGGGGGGATACAATAACACTTATTGCCTTGATTCCTTTACAATTAGATAAATCTCTAATTTTTATGTTAGGAAGAAACTTTCTTCGTAATTAAACCAGTGTTATTGGTTTTACTTTTGACCAAGCTTTTGCTACTCTCATGCATAATGCCGAGTGTACTTGTGCCACACACAGATAATCCACACCCGGATAATGAAAGTACATTAGTTTTAATTATGGTTAGAAATCACATGTTCTGTAGTGAAGAAAATTGTAAATTATATGAAAGTTAAAAGAGAAGACTTAGATGTTGTCTTATTAAAGTGAGAACTGCGTAAACTTTTGAGGACATTTGGAATTTGCATGTTACATTTAGTTTTACCAGTTTTTTAGAAACTGAATTAAGGATGCTACCTGTTATAAAACACAGAAATTTATGTATTAAAAATGTATTCATTTATGATTAAATAGTCAAAATTTAATTTGCAGTAAAACTGAATGGTGGACGACATGTCACAGGCATTCTGAGAGGATTTGACCCTTTCATGAATTTGGTAATGGATGAGGCAGTTGAACAGCTTAAGAATGGTGAAACCAACAATATTGGAATGATTGTAAGTTATTAGATTCTTTGCTTACTTTATTAATCAGAATAACATCATATTATCATTTTGTATTTCTAAAACTAGAAAAAACGTAAAACATTAAAACAAAACTAGTTTCATTTAGTGTAAAGCCTGAGATCCAGATTTGTCAGGAGTTGGCAATTCTGGCACATCATATCATTTTGTATTTCTAAAACTAGAAAAAAAAACTTAAAGCATTAAAACAAAACTAGTTTCATTTTGTATAAAGTCTGATATGCAGATTTGTCAGAACAATTCTGAATTTATAATTTTTCTGTATTTTATATCATCAGTTGAAATCTAGTAAGATGACATGTAGAAATTTATAAAATTAAAAATAGCAATTTATGAAATAACAAAGCGTTTATGGCCTTAAGGGAATCAAAGTTTTAAAAAAATTTAGTGTTTGTTTTATTAAATATTTCGTAGTGTAGCTTGTTTAATTTGCTTCATCTTTTTGTGCTAATATTTTCTCTTTAATTTTATAGATAGAAATATTTTCTTGTTCATTTACCAAGTTCAAGACATGTATAGCATGTAAAAATTCCCGCACCAAAAATTTCGGTTTCGAGGGCCGTAAAAAATCGCCAAACTGTTGTTGATGCCAATGCTGCCAAAAATAATTGCGGCAAAAAAAAGAAGTATAATTGTAAATAACTATTTAAGATTGATGTTTTAATTTAGATGGAAGGTTAATTTCATATACTTTTTTATTATTTTCATTTATATGAAAAAGGCTAAACATGACTGGAATGGAAGCATAAGAGTAAATAACTATTTCAGATCATTATTATAATTTATATAAAAATTGCTAAACATAACTGAATGGATGCCTGCATCGCTATTTCGCTACCGTGTTATCACTAAAGCATAATTTCATCTCGTTGGTTGTTCAAACGTAATTTTCTAAAATGCATGATGCCTTTTCTTTGAAAATATTCTCGGTAAAGTGCAGAATCGCTCACTTATTTGTTTGCCACTTTTTACAAGAGTAAAAACAATTGGATTTTTGTCAATTTTCTTTTACTTTTAAAGCGAAAATAGGTCGATGTGTACATAAAGTAAAGGGCGTGCGCAGTGCCATTTTTGTGCAATTCTAGGATTTTTTTTTAAGTGAAAATAGGTCGATGTGCACATGGATACCGAGTATGTGCAATTCTTAAAAACACGTCAAGCAGTGGGTGATTCTGCTCTTTACCAAAAATTCTGTTGCTGAGTTTTCGTCATGGGCAATTCCCAAATGGTTAAATCAATAGGATATCAAAAAAGGATTTAAAAATTAAACTAGTATTTCAATGGCGTCTTAAGAAATATAGAACTGTATAAACTTACACAATGTGAAATCAGTGTGTACGCTAGATTTGGCTCGCTGTTAAATGGGCACGTTTGCTAGATTTGGAACTTTTGCGCACACATTTTCACTGCAATTGTTTTATGGCCCTCGAAACCAAATAGTACCAAATTTTCTTATCTCAAACCTGTCACTTTCTTCACTATTGGTAGCAATATTTTCTGGATTTAGAACCATACTACCGATTTTGCTGACCGTTACATGATTGATGATTGGGCTTTGTCATCGCTATGATAATCTTGTGTTGTGTCATCTTTATTTATGACTTCTCTATAATTTTCTTCACAGATTCTATTAATTGGACAGTTGTGGTTTTTATATGCAAAATCTGAAAATTTTCAAATTTGTGGTTATCATAATAAAGTTTAGCTAATGTACACTATCGGCGATGTATCGTGAGATTGGTGACTAAACACATGTTGTTCCATTAAATTCTATCTTGCTTTTATCACATGCTGATGAAGTTAAGCCTGAAATATCTTAGTTATTGCATTACCGACTGTCTTCCCATGCTTAAGGCTTATACGAGTTCCGAATAAACAAATTCTTACATTTTACCCAAGGTTAGCACTATACATTTTGTGTGAGTCTGAAATTTCTCCTGTCAAGTACTTCTGTAAATTAAAAAAAAAAAAAGAAAAAATTGCCTTCCCTAAATTTTGCCACCCACACTGGTCTTGCGCTTAACTGAATAATAGATCAATCATTTTGAATTCAAGCAGCACAAAATGTAATCTTTTGGCCTATGAGTATCATTTACAAAATCTTTTTTTTTTTTTTTTGGGAGAGAAATTTCTCATTGCCATCAACATGCTCAAACTCCATAATAAAGTTGGCTGAAATTTCAAATCATCATATTATTAAATATAATGAAAGATACCAAGCATAATATTATGAAAGATATACTTTCAATTCCTAAAATTAGAAAAAAAAGTGTTTAGATATTTCTGTGTAAGTCATTTCTCAAGCTGCAGTGTGTTGATAATTAGGTGGGTGGTGAAAGCAAAAAATAATAATTTTTGGTTTGTCAGGTTGTCATCAATGTGAAAGTGAAGTTGAGAATTGGGACTTATCATGAAAAAATACTAAATGTGCAAGCTTAAAGCATAAAAAAGTGCTATCGCATTATCTGACCAACCGCCCCGCAAAGTCGCCAGTTGTTGGGTAACGTTTTGGTTACCTAACATGTGAAAAAAGTAGCCATTTTTTAAAAATGAAATAGTGGTGAAAATTACATAAAAAAGAAATTAAATTATCAAAAATTAAAACTCATGAAACATACATAATAAACTAGTAAAAATTGTGTAAAGTAGATACCCATAACAAAATATTAAAAATTCCATAAAATAGTAAATCAAATTGATGCAACAAAATGCCATAGTAACAAAATTTAGAACAGCTGTAGGACCAGGGTGGCGAAACATTTTTCGCGAAACAATCCACGATTTTTGCTTACCTACATTTTTAGTTTACCTTTCAAACTTAAACTCTAAAATGTTTGAAATGAGGTTACATTTTTGTGTGCGATTTATGCTATAAGTCTGAAATAAAAACAAAAAAAGTAGATAAGTGTGAAGTTCCTCACCAAAAATGATGACAAATTTAAACGGTTAAAGTTTACAATTGAGTGCCCTTTTTTTTTATTCACTTTTGACGCCAAGATCGGCACCAGGAAGGCACAATTTCAAGATGGCCACAACACAAAACCAAAATAAGAAGTCAAAGAATTGCACAAACACAGTGTCCCTGTTCACTTTGATCTATTTTCACTTAAAAAAAATCAGAAAATTGCACAAACTCAACATTACGCACTCCCTTGACGTTGTCCGTGTATGCATCGATCTATTTTCGCTTAAAAAAATGGGAAGCTAAAATCAAGTTATAACTATTATAGTAACTAGAAATGGGGTTTCATCACCAAAATTTGTTGCCAGTTAAAGGGACTTCCATCATAAAATTAAAGCAGTGCAACAATTAAAATAACTCTGCAAAATTAAAAGAATAAAAAGCAAACTTTGTTCAAAACCACATTCTTTACCCTGAACAATGTTTCTGCAGATTCATAAAAATCCATCAGAAACACAGTTTTTCTTTTGAATTTTTATATCAGAGCTGCACTTCTGACATCTTGAGTTCAGCCTCAAAAGTCCTGTATCCCATAAAAGCTGCAAAAACACGCTTCTGTCGGCATGAAGACAACTATGAACAAATGCTTCATTAATAACCCCAATAGCATATCTTCTCGAACTAAATGTAGCTTGAAAACACGTGGCTGATTTCTCTCCACATCTTCCTTCATAGAACTATATGCCATTATTCAACATGTAACTAAAAAACCACTACGATGAAATAAAACCATATTCCCCATATTTCGTTTGTATGGTAACCCTTAAATCGCATTATTTTGAATAGTTTCATTCTATTAGAAATGTGGTTTTGGCAACAGTTTTTCATTCAATTCTATACTGGACTGCTTTTTATGATGATGATAAAGTTTTGTAAGGTAAAATTCTGCACAGTTTTTAAAGTTTGGTGTTCCCTTCAGACATTTTCCCGGTACATTTAAAAGCCAGACGAAGACTGGCGGCATAGCTGCTAGTTTATTATAAGCAATAATAACGAAAATGTGGTTTACGCACTTTGTTAAAATTAATTGAAAGTATGACCAATGACTTTTTTCCCACTCCTGGACAATGAAGAAAAAGGAGAGGAAAATAGGTTGCTATAAAGTAAGAAGTTCGCCTTGTGAATTAATTATTCTTGGTGCAAACTGGAAAAGTTTGCCAAGATAAATTTTTAAATTTCTCACCAAAAATTATAAAATTCAGTATTTATGCATAATTTGAGTCGTAGAATCAGAATATAGAAAAGAAATGGTTATTTCAGAAAAAGTCTGATTTTTGTGTCAAAATACCTATGTTAGAACAAAGCTATATATAAATCTAATATATATCCTAAGTCAGACTTTTGAGCCATGGAAAACACAAGTTGAATTCTGTCAATTGACCCAGTAGAAGAGAAATTAAACTTCCCTTTTTTTGTTCAGTGTACAAAAAAGAACTGTGAAATTTCATTTACATTGCTTAGTAATATAGTATAATGTGCTGTCGTGTACAGTTCTTTTAATAGCACATTATTCAGTGTTGGCAATATTCTTATAATTTATCAATTAAACTTGACTAGTTACATATATTAATGCAAATATTTTGTATATGCATCTTGTTCATTATTATCTGCTATGTGTCTCACTTGCCAGTATGGTGGTATTACTGTACATGAATTGCATTAAATTTAGAATGCTTTGAGAGCCACATGTATCTTTTTTACAGGTTGATAGATGTGCATAGATATAATTTGTGTAAAGTTTTAATTCCCACTTCATAATAATTATATAAAATTATCTTTTTGTATTAATCCTATTTCTTTCTCTTCTAGGTTATTCGAGGCAACAGTATTGTTTTACTTGAAGCATTAGATCGAGTGGCTTGACATATCAGATCGTGCATTTTTCATATATCAACTTTCATTAATAATTTTTGCATTGTGTCTAATTTGTAATAAATGTTAGAGTTGCATTTTTAATGTTTAGAGTTTTATTTTTAACTACAAACAGTAATGTGATAAGCATAATAGCATGATCAAGTATATTGGAGAAAAGTGAATAAACTGGGCTAGTTTAAGTATGATTAAAAAGGTAATTCTTTAATTTAAGACAAATTCCACTAATTGAAAGGAAACAATTTCTTTTCACAGTTTTATTATATTAAAAAAATTTCCTCAAAAATTCATTCTGTATTTTAATTTGGCATACACTTAATATTATTAAAAAAACTGGAATATAGCTGTGATTAATAAACTACAAAAGTAAATTTTATAGAAAAATTTTCCATACCTTAACAAGGTTCGTACGGTCCTTAACAGTCCTTAAAAATTCTTAGATTTTTTGGAATCGAAATTTTGGTGCTTAAAAGTCCTTAATTTTGGTCAAAATCGGCAGAAGGTCCTTAATTTTAATCATCTTAAATTTCTGTCTGTTTTTTCGACTGCTATTTTGAATGTAAATTAGCTTTTTGGAGGAATATTTTTGGTGATTCACTGACATATATGGTTATCTTTGAATGGGTTATAATTTGTTTCTATTTCTAATATAAATGATGGGATACTTTAGTTTCTAAGCAAGAAGTGAAACATAAGCATTTTGAAATTCATTTTTTCTAATAAAGAGCTCTTAAATAACTTTTTGATTATGGAGATGTGAATTCTTTTATTAAACGGTTCTAAGTTTGACAATTTTAAAGATCAGTTTCTATAAAAAAAATTTTAATTCCAAGATCTGAGGATTTTTTGACAATTTTTTTTAAAACACTGTAGCATTGATAAATTTCATTAAAATAATGGTAATATATTGAAATTATATTTAAAAAAAGTAACATTAAAATAAAACATTTTTATTTATCGCTGTCGTATTATAATGTTTCATTTTGGCAACTTGTACAATATTTGAATTTGAAAAATAAACAAGGTATAATGCTATAAAGCACAATTTATGAAACAGCTGTTAGCAAATGCAAATTTAGCTAGCACAATTTATGAAACAGCTGCTAGCAAATGCAAATTTAGCTATGTAATTACTGTAAAATGTCTTCTTTTTAATTTTTCATAGTAAGAGTTTTTCCCATGTAATTGTCTCAGAATATGCATCAGTTTTTTCTTATCAAATTAATTTTTCACTAAATATTTCTGTCTTTTTGCTGTTACAGAATTGGTAGGGATGAAGTTTTTTTAGGGTTTTAGACATTGCAGCTTGGAAAGTTTAGAAGGATTTGAAGGCAAGATTTATTGACACACGACTGTAGAATGTTCAAGAACTATGTGACAAAATGAAAAATGTCTTCATGGTATCAACACATAATGGATGTATTTTACAGAAAGTGTGCAATGAATTTCTTACTTTTTGGAGAAGTGTGGAAGAACAATGGAATCATAATATTTGAATGTTTTACTTCTGATACTAGAATCTTTTTTTTAACATCCCTTTATTTCTCTATTTTTCACTAGACATCACTTTCTATCTTCCCTTTATTTTCTCTATTTTTCGCTGGACACAAGCATGGAAAATATCAAAAATGCTTCTAATCTTATCACATGGACAGGCATTACAGAAAGGAATTTTTTTATTAATAAAAAAATTGAAAACTTATAATTTAAAAGATTCATCTAATAGGTCTTAATGCATCATACACAGAGCTGGCATAAGGCATTTTCCCACCTGATGCAATCTCTGTTGATTCTAAATTCTGCTGCCTAGTGCCTTTCTAAATTCTGCCTTCAATGCCTGTTCTAAATTCTAAAAGTTTTGCCACTTCTAGGTTTTGTTGTTTGGTGTGTCACTAAATTCTAAAAATTCTATCACACCAGCTCTGTAACCGGTTTAACAGGTTACAGAGCTGGTGTGATATTATTATATATATTTCATGTTTCTAAAGAAATAAAATTAGCCACTTTTCCTATACATTCTAAATGCAGTTAGTGTTCTTTTAGAATAACAGAAATCCTTAATTAAATCCAAAAATTTTAAAATGGAAAGGAAATATGTTGAAGAAAGAAACTGAAATCATACAGAAAATTATTCTTCAAAGATATGTGCAGTTATTATTATGTAAACTACCTAATTGTTTTTGATTTCAGCCTTTATTATAATTTCCCATTTGTTTCCTCATATGATAGAGTTACTGAGCCAGGTTAAATTAAAATTAAATTGTGTAATCTTTGACCACTAGTCTACATTTTTAGTTTGAATTAGACTGTTCTTGTTTAATTACATCAGCGTGAGCTGTAATTGATTTTGTTAGCATCAGAACATGCCTTTGTTTTAAGTTCTTTTCAATTAAGAGGCTTATTTAAACCTTTCTCTGATGTTGTAGTTACTTTCAGCCATAGCGATAATTCACGTCTGTCGGGGGGTTTGGGACTTTACAGGACGGTTCCTGCTGGGGTTTAGCTGAGCTAACGGAGTCAGTTCCCTGTGTTGACTAGCTCCGCTATGTCTGCAGTTCAGATTTTTCAACTTGCTACCCTATGAGAAAAAACTAGTTTTGGAGATGGGTTGGCTACGTCTATTTTCTCCGTTAGCTCAAATAAACCCCAGTGGGAACGGCCCTTACCAGATCAAGTAAACCCCCATAGGTACATTGTGGAGAGATTGACAAGTTACACTTACCAACTGTGCTTACATCAGGCCTTTCAGGTTTATTCTAATCAGCAGGTCTCTCTCTAGACAAGCAGCAGCGGTGATAACATTGTCTTTTGTTATAAATCATGTTGATTATGATCTTACTTATCATTTTAATCTATGCCAGTTGATATAAAATCTACCTGCTATTTACTAAAACCTCTATGACTTTAAACTGACCAAGTATGTGACAAAATGAGACATAAAAAATAAACATAAAGCTAACTGTTAGTAAAATGTTAATGTCAGTTATCTTCTTTCAGATATGTCCAATTATTATAAGTGTAAAATATTGGTACTTTTCCATTTTGCCAGCACCAGCGATAAAGTCGCTGAAAATCGTACAACTTATACCAAACAAAATATCCTCGCTGGTAATCTTTTACGCTTCATTTTCAAAACAAGTCTCAGCCATTTCTTAGATTGATTTTTTCTTTCAATACTGGTATACAATTACATAGATTTTTTACCCAGACAGTTTAATTTTATACCCTAAGGCCATTCGCGGTAATTAAGTCATTTAGGATGCAATCACACCACTCACCTGAAGGCGAAAATATAGAAAAGGCAAAGTCAAGGGTTCAATTCATCCATTCTAATGAGAATGCACTAGCGAAGTAAAGCAGTGCGGTTTTACATAATTTCGGAGTAAGCTATTCGTATGAATTGAAATTATTCTTGCATTTAAACTTGTATTCTAAATAAAGATTTAACTTGAAATTAATGTAGATAATTGAGGGAATTAGATTTTTGTAGCATAGTTGGGGTCACGTGATAAGAAATTGCGAATCAGAATGTACCGTGAAAGCATAGCAAGTTCTTAAATTAATACCTTTTTACAAAATTTTAACAGATATTAAAATGTTCATACCTTCAAAATAAAAATTTCTTATAACTAACATTTGTTAACATTTTTTATGTGTATACTGTGTGTTGTCGCCAATAAAGTCTGCTTGGCAAGATTTGTGCCGGCAAAACGGAAAAGTACTAAAATATTTAATGCTACTTGATAAATTGCATAAAGTTTATTTTATTCTCACTTATTAATAATAATTATGTTAATTAATTCATGTTTAGTAATAATGCTTACTACTTAAGGATCTATTTTATTTTTAGAATGGTATTACAAAAGTGAAATTCAGGCATAGATAATATTAATTGTATTTGTTCAGTTCCCATTTGCTTATAGGTCCTTAAAAGTACTTAATTTCCATGTGCAGAAATGTGTATGAACCCTGCTTAATGTTATATTAAAAGAAATCTTAAGACATGGACACCCGAATTTTGAATTTTTTTTTTTTTCACTTATTTCGTATTTTATACAAATTTAATGAATTTTTATTTAACAAATTCCTGAAGTGTGAAAGTGAAGTGGCAGAGCTGTTCGAAATTGGAACATTTTTATATTTAGCACGCGAGACTTGGCATTTGGTAAAATGCAAGATAGTTTTATTTCAGTTTTAATCCACAAATTCGTCTATTTGAAAGCTGTATGCTGCCATCATATCAAATAGAATACTAACTACCTCCATGCACTGTGTGTTACCATTCTGTAAAGCATAAGATATCTAACTTCAAAATTTAATCTCTGTGTTACTGAATAGCAAACTAAGAGATTGAAAAGTTCTTAAAAATATTTTCTCTGTTTTAAAATTATTGATTAAATAAATATGCATTTAAATCATGAGATGACTAATTAGAAATATTAAATAATTTTATGGCATGATGCTTGTAATGAGCTGGACAGATGAAAATCATTATATACATTTGTGGGCTGGTCAATTGAGCGGCTACTTAAAAAAATGGCGAATATTTAAAAAAAGTCGCAAATCCTAATTATTTTGATTTTATGCAGTGTAAGTTCAAAGAATGTGATATGTGAGAAAGTTAATAATATAAAGAAAAGCTTTAGCTCATTTAGTAAGAAAATTGAATGCTGGTATGTTGAATTGAGAAAAGGTTTGCCAAACACTTAGCACTGTAGCGCGAGTTATAAACATGCTGCTTTTAAAAATTTTGGTTTTGAAGTGTATGTGTTCAAAAGAAATTCAGGCAAATGAAAAATTTGTAGCATTTTTGTTATCACATGTATTTTTAAAGTAAATTATTTGTAATATGTTATTAATGGGGAAAAACCATGAAAATTTTCCTTCAAGCAATGGATTCAGAAATTTGAAACCACTTCGAACTATGGTAAGCAGTTTTACAATCAGCCGATGGTATCTTGAAAATTAAATTTATGATTTATTTCATTAATTATAAATGATGTAAAACAGATTACTATGTTCTTTATATACTACATATCATCTACACTTTATCATCACTTAATGCCCTAGCATCTAGCTGATTA